GATGGATGGATGGATGGATGGATATATAGGATGGATGTATGATGGATTGATGGATGGATGGATATATAGGATGGATGGATGATGGATGGATGGATATATAGGATGGATGAATGGATGTATAGGATGGATGGATGGATGTATAGGATGGATGGATGGATGGATGGATGGATGGATGGATGGATGGATGGATGGATGGATGGATATATAGGATGGATGGATGGATGGATATATATAGGATGGATGGATGGATGGATATATAGGATGGATGGATGATGGATGGATGGATGGATGGATGGATATATTGGATAGATGATGGATGGATGGATGGATGGATGGATGCATATATAAGATGGATGGATGCATATATAGGATGGATGGATGGATATATAGGATGGATGGATGATGGATGGATGGATGATGGATGGATGGATGATGGATGGCGCGAGCAGCAGCGTGGACTGAAATCTTTTCCTGATGAATCCAAAACAGAACTTTCAAACCAACAGAAAACTGAATCATCATGAAGGAGGAAAAACTGACAGAATCAATGTTCTTCATCTCGTATAAAATAAAAACACCCATGGCTAATAGCCTGTTGATTTGCACATACATGAATATATACATATATTGATTGATGTTTTCTGTACTTCTGAAAATTCTGGTTGAAGTGTTTGTAAAGATCACATGATCCTGCGTTTGTTGCTCTTTGTTTTATCTCCTCACGAGGAAAAGGACAACAGCTCTTTTCACATATTTTTATGTTATATGTGTAATAAAATACTACATAACATGGCCCACACCCCTGAAAGTACAGTGTATTTACAATGTAAGATGACATCATTTTGTTTACTTTTCTGCTAAAATACCCAGAAAGTACTCAGTACTTAAAGTTAATTACAGAATTATTCCTTCCTCCTGGTAAAATCATGAACTATTACCTCCTTATTCTAATGTACCCACCAGCAAGTAATGCTAATTCAATCATGATATCAGGTAACGCACCTGGAAAACCCACTTAATCCTAAAATAGCAGCACTCTTAGCCGTGGGCTGTATTATAAAGTCCCAAGAGCCAAAACAAAAATGCTGATCACAGCTCGACACTCACAGCAGCAGCCCAGATGTGAAGACAAACACCTCAGCTGTCAGCACATGGCTGTCAAACGTAGCGGGGAGGCTAATGTGTGTCTATGATTTCTATGTAACTGCGGTATTCATCCTGTTTAATGATACGTGTAACAATGAGGTATGGAGGTAAACGTTTCACGGTCACTGAGCTAATTTCTTTCTATGAACAGCTCCGAGGATTCTCGAGAAGTTCGTGAAACCTGCAGCCACTTCCCAAAGGCTACGCTGGCGTGTTTGCGTGGCTCTGGGCTGCTACTGGTCCGGAAGCGGGAAGCTTCGTGTTTTTTATTGGCTCCTAAACACTTTGGGCCACTCTTCCTGCTGTTTCACGTCCCCATTGTCGCTAATGAGGACGACGACAGACACACAAGAGCAAGAGCGGAACAAACATCAACCGTTTGATCACTCAGTGCTGAACCGAGTGGAGCCGCTCAGTCTCTCCTCATCATGCACTTCCTGTTTCCTGCCGCAGCCCAGTTTAATTAAAAAGCAGCAGAGAGAGCGAAGCTGTGGTGAAGCTTCCGGGTTTCACCTGCTTTCACTCAGACATGCGGAACCGTCTTCACACTAACTGTGAGCTTCTGTTAGTTTGAGGCCCAGCACAGTTTAGAGCTGCATGCAGTAGCTATCACAAGGGGGCGGAGTCTAAAGTTACCATCCAGTTGTATTGAAGTTTGTGCTTTAAACATCTTTTTTGCAGTGAGAACTGTGAATACAGTCCAGCATGAGCCCTGGACAGTATAAAAGGTGGCCATAGATACTGTAATGTCACTGATTTAGGTGAACTGAGCATGCTCAGTGTCGCCATCTGCAAGTTTTGAAACCAGCTGTGACGAGTGAGGCGTGGCTAATGGTTTGTGATAAACTGATGAGACCATCCTGGATGATCGTTGATGGCCTCCATGTTTTACAAGAATACGAGCCCAAACCAGAGACCAGTACAACCCTAACGAAGTGTGTCGCCTCCTGCTGGTGTAACCAGTGATGCTGCAGCCAGGCTGACCATACGAGAGGACAATCGCGTTTTACCGCCATCAGCTCTGAGAGTCGATAGTGAAATCAGACGACTTCCTGCACGTTTGGGTGAAACTTCAACTTGCATCTTTTAGCTACAGGGATTTTACTTTTCAATCCAATCAGAGAGTTATCCGATCGTTCAGTCTGACGTCACTAGCCGTGTCTGGGCCTAAACTCCACTGCAGGTCCATATATCAAACGATCACTGTGGCATTACTGAGAGTTAAAAACTGACTAAAGTCTTTCATCTTTAATAAAATGATCAGCGTTCTTCTCTACCAGGTGTGACAATTGAGTTTAACATCCAGGCATCCATGAAAACGGAATTTATGACATTTAACGGAGTTAGAAGTTAGCAGGGAGTTAGCTCGCTAGCTTCTATCTAAATACAATATAGCTAGAGCTGGGCGATATGAGATTTTTTCATATCACGATATGTTTTTTTCATTTCAGGCGATAACGATATCATCACGATATAAGCCAAATAACTATATTTGTAAAATTTAAATGTGCCGTCGCTCACAAGTAAAATGTGAAATAATCAGCAGCTTGTTTTGATTTAAATATTTATTTCTCATAATAAGTTCAACAGGGTAGATGTACTTAAGGAACACGAGACTTTTTCAGATAAATAAAGGCAAATATTGCAAACTACACAAAAGGCAGCCGCTAAAGCGTTTAAGTTT